TTGAATGGACGGATGCGTTTTAAACTCTGCACTTCTAACTTCAGTTTCAGCAAGCCATAGCGTTCTTTGCTCTACAACAAAGCGGCTCAGTTGTGTTCAGAAAGAAGCAGAACGTACAGCCGTAGTCGTCTGCATCGGTCTTCGCATAGCATACCCCATAAACTTGGGATGTGCGTGGTAGCCACATGCTGAATATGTTCAAGGTTTTACTCTTCATCACGTGATTGGTGATCTGTACTCGATCATCTATCTTACGCTGGAAGGGAAGAGCAGATGGCAGTCTTTTTAGACCAAATGTCGAAGCTGCGCTTGAGCGCCCAAAGTATGCGCACTCCGTTTCCATCTATCTTGTTCGTGTTGTCTGCGGAATTCAATTCGCAGCGTGAGAGTACACCAAGGTCTTTCACGGAAGGTGTAGGATGTAGTGGTTGACCGATCAATGTGTACGTACGCCCATCAACACCCTCCCCAGACTCAGATAAAACAATTTGACTGGGCTAATCGGCGGGTCGACATCTGCAGTTCACCTGGCGAGGCAGTCAAGATCATGCCGAAGTATGGCACAATCGGCGGGATCACCAATTGTTCTCCAAAGCTGCAGGTCATCTGCAAACATGGCCCATAGCGATCGAAGTAACTGAAAGGTTTTGTGTACGTATAAGTGCACCGGGAATTTCGTTATACTACATAGGAGGGCTAATTGATCTCTCGTGTCTGAGGATCAACTGCTTTAGAGGGTCGCCTTTACCGGGAGCCCAGACAGCGATTCGAGAAGACGGATCGAGTTGCAGGGAAACATTTATTGGTACAGTAAAAGAATCCCTGCAATTCGATCCGTCTTCTCAAATCGCTCTCTGGGCTCCCGGTAAAGGCGACCCTCTAAATTGCTGACCCCGACGTGATTGAGAGCACCTGAGACATGTCGTACGTATGTCGTAAATTGGGAAACGTATTCTAGGTGTCTAGTTTCCCGCGGAGAATACTTGTCCGTTGCGCCATTGATTGCGTAGATCAATGAATTGTGGTCAGTGAAGACTGTAAAAGGTCGACCTTCGAGGTAGGGACGAAAATGTCTGATACCTAGGTAGATAGCTAACAGTTCCCAACCGAAGGTGCTGTAACGCGATTCGGCAGGTAGTAAGCGTTTTGAGAAGAAACCTTGAGGTATCCATCGATGGTCGATGAGTTGCTGAAGAACTGCACCGACGGCAGTGTCGGTTGCGTCAGTCGTCAGGGAGAGTGGTGCAGATGTGTCTGGATGGGCGAGAAGCGCTATGTTGGAGATAGCGTCTTTGAGCTTCTTGAAAGACAGTCTAGCGTCTTCTGTAAAATGAAAAGACCGTTGTTTACCGCGGAGCAGGTCAGTCATTGGTTGAACAATGCTCGCGCAGTTAGGAATAAAGCGTCGATAATAGTTGACCAGGTCAAGGAATCGGCGCAACTGTTTGAAGGAACCGGGAGCAGGATAGTCCTTCAGTGCCTGGATTTTGTCCGGCAGGGCTTCAATACAAGAGGCGGATATGCGGTGGCCAAGGAAGTCGATGGAGCTTTGGCCAAGCTCGCATTTATAGGGGTTGACGGTAACCCCATGCTGTATTAAGCGTTGAAATAGAGCGTCGAGGTGATGAAGATGTTCTTCGTCAGAAGAGCTCGCGATGAGAATGTCATCTAGATAGGGATAAACGCCTTCGAGTCCTCGCGTTAACTCATGAATGAAACGCTGAAAAGTTTGGGCAGCGTTACTAAGGCCGGAAGGCATTCTGAGGTACTCGAATAGGCCGAATGGCGTGATGACTGATGTTTTAGCAATGTCGTCTGGCGCCACAGGTATCTGATGGTAGGCGCGAACTAAGTCGACTTTGCTAAAGATAGATTTGCCAGCTAGAGCTGAGATCAAGTCGTGCATGTGCGGAATGGGGTATTTATCTGGGACGGTAACTTTGTTAAGTGCCCTGTAGTCACCACAGGGGCGCCAGTCACCGGATTTCTTCGGTACCATGTGTAATGGTGATGCCCATGGACTTTTAGGCGGGCGGATGATTCCCAGTTCAAGCATTTGCTCGAATTCCGCCTTAGCAGCTTTGAGCTTGTCCGGGGCTAGTCTGCGAAGGCGGGCCGAAACAGATGGGCCTTTAATGCAGATGTAATGCATGACGTCACAGGAGGCAAGTCGTTCAGGACGCGAACGAGTTTAGGATGCTTGTCGAAAAGTTCTATAAGGTTGTGAAGCCTGAGGTAGGACACGAATGGGCGTGATAGCAGCCACGTTGGCGCTAGTCCCGATAACACTGAGCTGTGTCCTAGGGTCGATAAGCTTCTTCCGTTTAGTGTCGACGATGAGGTCGAAGCGTTGAAGAAGGTCTATGTGTATGATGGCGAAAGGCACGGCAGCGACCATGAAAGGCCAACGAAAGGTTCGCAGGAGGCCTAAATTGAGCGTTAGCAGCTTTTCGCCTAAAGTTGCGATTGGTGTGCCATTGGCGGCATGCGGCTTGGTCGGTGATGGCGAGACGACCTCATCTGGGCTACGGGGTATAACACTAACTGCGGCTCCAGTGTCGACCAGAAAATCGGTGCCGGAAGTTAAATCCCTAATGCGGATGAGGCGACTATGGTGTTGGCCGGTCGCGTCCGTCGCCGTTCTGGACCGGCCGAGGTTTCCCTGCTTCTCGGCGAAGTTGCAAGGCTTGACACATTTACGAGCTGCGGTACCAAAGCGCTGGTGGTACCAACAGCTAGCTTGTCTGTTGCTAGACTGAGAACTTTTGCAGGGCGATTTTGATCGACTAGGACGACGACGGTTCATTGTAAGCTGCTGCATCTGGCGACTAAGTGTCACAATTTGTGTTTGCTGGGCTTCTATAGTTGACTGTAAGCCAGTGATAGAAGTGCCCTGGGACGCAACGGCATTGATCTCGCTGGCGTCGGCTTGTGGCTGTGATCGCTCAATAACTCGATCCGCTAAGTCTGCTAGTTGAGTGAGTGAAACGGAGCTCACTGTAGCGAGAATCGCTTTCGTGTTTTCCGGTAGCCGTTGTAGCCATAGTTCGCGAAGTAACGTCTCGTCCATGGCTGAGGAACCAAGGAGTTGCTGCATCTCTCGTAGCAGGGTTGAAGGCAGTTCGTCGCCTAGCTGCAAATCCCTGAAAAGCTGTTGCAGGCGAACTTTCTCAGAGGGCATAACACGCTTGATCGTGGCCTCCTTGAGAGCCTCATAGCGGTCTTCGGTCTGAGAAAGGATAACGTCACGAACCTGCATTGATATCTCCTTGGGGAGATAGGACAGGAGTTTGTTATACTTCGCGTAGTCAGAAGTGCTTCTGTGGTTATGAAACTCAGCCTCAAGAAGAGCGAGCCACAAAAGAGGATCCATGTCCCAAAAAGGTGGCACGGAGAGAGATACAACGCTTAGTAGAGACTCTAAATTATGGTCTAAAGATTCCATGGCTTAAAAATGACGCGAAGAATAGGCTAACGTATGAAAAAATAAACCACAAAGTATGAAAAACAAATGGAACGAGCTCACCGGAGAAAAGCTCCAAATATCCGGCTTTGAGATTGTTCCGGATTCGGGGTCACCAATTTAGAGGGTCGCCTGTACCGGGAGCCCAGAGAGCGATTCGAGAAGACGGATCGAGTTGCAGGGAATCTTTTACTGTACCAATAAAAGTTTCCCTGCAACTCGATCCGTCTTCTCGAATCGCTCTCTGGACTCCCGGTACAGTCGACCCTCTAAACTGTTAATTGTCGTCTTTTAAAATCAGTGCCCACGCAACATTGCTGGTGTAGAATGGTACCAACTTGTCCCCAGCGATGACGAACGTAGGCGAGCACTGGATGGGTGTAGTTAGACTCCTTCCTTGGAACAACCATTGTTGTCGAACAAGTTGGGTTGGTTTGGGCATGGGCTGCCCATATCCGGTCACCATGTGAACAGAGGATCCTCATTTAGCCCGCAGAATGTTGGATCAGCTAGGTACAAGGTCGACAAAAATTGCTTTGGAAGCGGGAAATGAATTCACTGACGACCAAACTGGGTGACGTTGGTCCATTGGGCCTTCCAGCTTGAATGCCACCCGACCGACCTTGTACGTAGCTCAAGGCTGTACACGGCACGCATAGCAACATGCGCAAGCGGCATCGGTCACCGGTAGCCAACATTGGTGAGGTGTGAAAATTCCTGACTGAATAATAATGCTACGGAACTGTGATAAACTAATAACAGTGTATTAACGTAATGACGAAAGGTAAAGCTGCTGTAAATCTTTTGCTTCCTAGGTTAACTGCATTTCACAAACTGATATTTTGTCGATTGTTACATATTAAATGCTCAACGGAGTTGTGTTTAACGCATTACTGCTCAATTCCAGTTCGGTACAGTAAATCAACTTAGCAAGCATTTGTGATGTTATTGTCGATGCTTTTCGATACTGGGTATTTCAGCAGACATTTTGAGGGGAGTTCAAATGGCTCATATAATCCATCGAGAACAATCTAATCATCAGGAATTGCGTGTGTGACGATTTTAACATCACTAAGCAAGCTACCGCAAAGCGGTGACGTTTTAGCTGCTTCAGACAACTGGAATCCATTTCCATGGTAAACGAGTTACGATATGCTTAGGTTACAATCAATTATTAAACATGGAGAAAGTTGCTGCTATGCAACCGACTACTTTGTAAAGTCTTGCGGACACGCGTTTAGCAAATGTGAAGGAGACACAAATCCAAAATGCAAGAAGCACAGCTGAATTTACCGACTGCAGCCGACTTGCACAACCTGTGATTCAGTACGCTGCTTGTTCGTGAATATCGTACTGAGTAGTCATGTGTAGACATTCGTTTGGTGAAAATTGGAACTAGATAGTTTATAGTACGGATTTTGCATCCCTCCACAACTTTCTCCAGTATAAGCACAAAGTTAATCAAGCTGCTGTTGATTTGTCACCTTTTTCAAGTGACGGAATAAAGGAAATACTTCGTCCCAAAGATGCTTCTGCAATGACGAATCTGATGCAAACTTTTAACGAGCAGGTCTACATCTCCTCAACGAAGAAGAGGCTCGGACAAACTCCGGTATCGCACTTGCCACCTTCTGTTGACCCCTACAAAACTACTTTCGGGATACGAAATAAACCAGGTAGGTGCATATAAGGTGTGAAGAACAGAAGGTCACGTGCTAATCTGTGCCATGCCAGAATTGTAACGTTCAGTGAGAATAGGACAAGAGTTAAAGGCTGGAAGAGTAGCAGTATAACCAAGGCATGGAGTTCACTTAAAATGCTTAACAGTTTCGATTGCGTCACCATGTCCCTTAGGTAAGCTTTTGGATATGGTGTTGCGACTTTTTAATGAGTCCGAATAATTCGAGCCCCCCATTCCACTTAATATCACGATATCATTGTCATAGATTTAGTTGTTCATGCAGAATAACGCAAAGGATGAAAGTGAAGCATATTTCTTGCTCATCAGTATAACTCGCATGCTCATATTTTCCGTCTTACTTTTTATTGGTGCCCATTGCTCCAAGCGTGCAACTGACAATTGCCCCAGTATAACAGCCCTACAACTTCAGGCAAATAAAGCTATTAAATGAGATTCTTCGCATCCAGTTTCCAAATCAGATAGTCGTCCACATGCTCAGAAAAGCACTAGACAGCAGTTTCACCCTGTTGGACATCGTCAGTAGTGCGCTGCGAAGCATCTCACATAATTACATCAAATTCCTCTACTATTGAGTACATCGAAATAAAGATATGTTGTTATTTTTCATAAAATAGTTTTTTAACTGTTTCATATTCTTAAGGTTACTTTGTGATCGTCTACTACCTTAATTTTGAAAAGCTGTAGGACAGTCCAATATTTGTCAAACGTATAAGAATCGATGACCATTTGCAATCGGTTTAATTACTTTTTTAAACTGTTATTATAGATGAGTTGGGTGAGCATGTCGCAGTTACTCATAAGAGTCCCTATCATGAGTGGAGTCGCACTAAGGGTGACTGAAGGATGAAACAATGTTGTATATCTCAACCACGCACCAGTTCATTAACTGTCCACCATGCAACCAAATCCACAGATGCAAATCAATTTAAAAATACTTTCAGCCCTTTTGTAACAAGTCTCTTTATGCGTGTTTCAAATATGACACATATCATCATTCTTGACCAGTAGCTAGTTTGTAACAAACTCTCATTATAATGTGTTGTGTCGGAGCCCCGCGACTGCTTCCATCCACTAACGGTAGTGAGAACAAGAACGACCGAGCAGAAAACAATGTTCACGTAGCAATCCAAACCGGCCACCAAGCGTCTGTATGTGCAACTCAATCACAAGATTCAAATTAGGGCATATACACAGGCTCTGCAGGAAGGCTGACAATCAAGCAATCAAAGCGAGTCTGGGGCGAAGGATCGACACGGTGTCTCACGAAGCAGCGAAATGTACAGAGTAAGAGAAAAGTCATTAAGCATAAGATTCAGTGTCAACCTAAGCTAGTCACAAATGTGAGGCAAGAGAAAACGTATGAGGGGAACCGTAAAAGAGCGCGGGGTGAATAGGCTGAGTGAGGCGAAACTCACAAAACAACGGGGAGTGGTGGAGTATTCTTACCTACGATATAAAATAATGTTCTGTGGGAATTTTGCAGGGTTAATAGAACCTGTATGCTTGTTCTCTCTTAACCCTGCTCTCCATTCCGATTGTTAACTTTTCCCAGTCTTTTTGGTAGAGTTTAGGTGAGAGTATATACCATAAAGCAAAGTGTCGGTTGCTCTGCCCAAGGTTCTTCAAGGTAAATTGTCGTTTCTACATTATTTCAGTAGCAACCATGGAGCCGCTATCACTAATTTTGTTCGACTTATATTCTAATAAATAGTAACAGAGTTTTAGTGCTGCGAGACAACATCCAAAAGCAACTTTTGTCACTGGAAATGACACATTGTCACAGCAGCAAAACTGCAAAGTACATTGAAATAATCGATGCTGTCTTCTTTTATTTTTAACGTTTGTAAGTAAGTAACTTATTATACATGGGAAATCTGCATTGTCAACTCTTACGCGCGACATACCGGGGTTATCTGCGAACTCGGGGAAAGATTTTGCAATTGAATGGTGCAAGTATTTGAACACAGCAGTGTCAAAAACCAACTCTTTCGTTATGCTCTTGCAGAACTCAAAAATGCATGGCATTATGAAATACATTAAGGCGTGATTACAGAGCAAAAAACCTAGCACCCACAAATGGGAAAGCTAATTGGTGGAGTGCGGACACTGCAGCTCGACAGCGTGCAATGGTACCTCAACGCGCAGATTGTCTATCAGGAAAATTTCTAACCAAAACAGGCTACTACGGTGATTTGTTATCAGCCTTCGAGCAATGAAGCCCTATCTCCCCACGAAGCGGCAAAAGTTCTAATGCGGAATGCTTTAACTTCCTGACATGCCAACGACCAGTGTCCCATGCCCGCTCATATCTCAAAAGCACCGGGATTTACCTTATTAAACTAATTTACCAAATATATTTAGGAAGTTGCTGTTCCTGTGTATCTGATGTTCTGCTAACGCTGCCAACATCTACCCAAAAGTGCTAGAGGTTGTGAAGTCATTCCGGCCATCATCGCGATTCCTTCTAATGAAGGACGGGATGAACAGTAGTTTCCAACCATTTGAAATTAGGGTAGTTTTATCCCGGTTTATAAGGGCAGTGGCTGTTCAGAACTAGTAAGTTATCGCCCCGTGAGCCGCTTTGCTTCGCTCCGTAAGTACATGAAAACGTGCATCGTTGAAGCACTAATGACAGTCTAGAAAGTTCGAAAGGAGGCAGATACGGAATAGAGCATTCTTTTCGGTAACGCTCGTCAGACTAAGACTTTAGGTGATGACGATTAGATGTTAAATGTACCACACAGGGCTGAGAACCTTCTCACCAAATGCTAAGTCGAAGACCTGAAACTTTCAGGTGGACCCCTACCACTGTTGTACGCCAACCCTAAAATTCACAAAGAAGGCGCTCCAATGCGTCTCATATTGGATATGCTTAGTTCTCAGCAACATTTTATAGCTCAATAGATGGTTGGGAAGTTGGAACCACTGCGTTAAATCATCTGCAATTACGGTGTGAAAGAAAACTATCGAGTTCGTTGTGAAGAGAAAGAAAGTGAAACCTAACAACTGATGGATGTCATCCTTTGACGCTTAGTCATTGTTTACGAATATTCCGTTATTGGAAACAGTGCGATATGTTTTCGAACGAACCCAACAACTGACCGTACCTACAAATCTCCCATAGAACCGTTAGAAAAAAGTGCTACTCAGATGCACCTTAAAAATGAAGTTCACTTTCAACGGGGAGATATATCGTCAGCTTGGTGGGGTTGACCTAGGAACACCATTTGATCCCCTTCTAGCAGATGCCTTCACAGCGCAATTGGAGCACATCTCACTAAAACTGCACGTAGCTGTAGTTTAGATCTACTTGCGTTAGGTAGACGATGTACTTATACTCTGCAAATCGAAAGCGTAGACTGTGAAGCTTTTTTAATCTTTTGTATGACTAGTAATTACTACTCCAAGACGATGCGCGAAATCAAGCGCGGATATCAGAGGGCAAATGGAGTGGGACACAGTGGACTGTATTATATGAGCTACAAGAGGACGCGGACGGATGAAGCAAGACAGGAGGTAAATGTTAGCGCGGGAACTTACAATGCGGTCGAGTGTCGAGCCGGATGTAGGTCGACATGGACGTAGTGTCAAGGAGATTAAAACATTAAAAGGTACTGTACATTTGGTCATCAGTGAAATTGTACCACCAAGATAATAGTTAGCTTTTGGGGCGCTACACCTTTAATGACGAGCATCAGCGTCTGTGAACACGAGTCCGGAAACTGAGTTCCGGTCCTGGACATTGAGATTATCAGAAACACCGATGGATCGCGCAGCAGAGAAGTGAATATTAAACCAATTTGGACTGAGCAGTACACCAACTTTTACAATACGGAACCACAACAGTACAAACAGAAGTGCGTTCGCACTCTAGCATTCCGGGCCCGCACAATTTGAACAATGGATACCGTCACCAAAGAATTGCAGAGGATCGGTAACGATCTAGGACTGAATGGGTTTCCAGATAAATTCATCCTCAAGCATTTGAAAGAACGCAAGATAAAACCACCGAGGATAAATGTACACAAGAAAGAAGTAATTGTGCATTTTACTTAGAAGTCGACAGAGCGGCTGCTGCCGTGTTCAAAGGCCTGAAAGAGCTTGTTGCAAAGACCTATTTTGCTGCTGCTCTACGCATAGTATAAAACAACAACAACAACAACAACAACAACAACAACAACAACAACAACAACCCATTTCTCGCATAACGTTTGGAAGATTGAATGCCTCCGTTGACTGGAGCCATGCTTGTTTATTACTACTTCTGCCCCTGCGCTGCACGATACGTGCGTCATACTACAGGACGCCTATTTCAAAAAATTCGCTCACACATCCCGAAGTGATTTTACAGAAAAGAAACGAGGTATTCTATAGGCTTCATCATATCGCACCTCTTAGAGTGCGTTCACGCAGTCTCGGAAAACGGCCTAGGGTCATGTACTCCACTCCTGCGTTTCTCGATTGGATTCCGGAAGCATCTCCTCTCTATTGCGGAAGCTATCTATATCCGTCACCTCAAGCCGGAGTTGTGCTTACAAAAGCCATTTATAAGCCCCTTATTTCTACCATGCCCTACAACCGTAGTTACATCCGCTACATCCTTACTGTGGTACGGCAGTTTACGTATCTCTTTGGCCCATTGTGAGATACTGGATGATGTCCTCAGAATTCTTGAGAGGTATTCCAGCCACTTCGATCAGTGTTTAGAGGAGAAAAAACTCAGTCCCAGGTTGCGGCTTTGAAATGTGATGGCTTCCATTTCTGCAACACCGGATTGTTGTTACATCGGATACCTTGCGGACAAGCCATTGAGCCAACCGCTTTCGCTGAGGACCGGAATTGTCTTTCTGTCTAGGTCTGGGTGCCCTCGCAGTGTCTCAGCCAACTTACAACCATGAGTATTTCAAACCTCAATCACAAGTAGCCTCGGACGTCGTGTAGCTTATCTGTGCTCGCCTTGTCTGCTGCATACAACACGGCGGACATGCCAAAATGTGCCACTGATGGCTCCTCCTCTCTTTCCTTTCCACCTCTTTCTCTTACTTCCCTCCCAAGCCCCATTACTGGTCTTCCCACTATAATTCCCAGCATAGTTGACAGCAATCACAATGCAACTGGAGTCATATCATCTGCAACTACCTTCTGGTGCAACGCACTGAACGACAAACATCAACAACTCCTTTTAAAGCTACACTGTCACATTTCCATGGAGACGTTCAGCGTTTGCACTCTATGACAAATATGTTAACAGGCTTCACACGCACGCACCTCGAACATCCTGGGTATTGACATGTGTTGTGTAACCGAAACTAGGGTCAGTGACCCTCACGGGGTTGTTGAATTAACAGCACGCTGTTTGTCTTCATGCTATTTGTTGCATGCATCCGGAGACGCTGATGCGGCAATCACTCATCAAGCTGGAGTGGTCATTGTTCTCAGCTCCAAGGCTGAGCTATCGTTGCTTGACTGGATTCCGGTGAACAGCATTTGTATACAATCCGTTTGCTATCAACTAAGTTTGATTCACGAAGTAACACTTATCGCCTTTTCTGTAGTACTTGCGTCGACTCTGATCATACCTTGGTATCTTGACACTTTTCCATAAACTTTACCCGGAGACGTAGCAAACGTCTCCTTGGATTAACAACTGAGAAGTTGTCTCATCCCTCGGTCAGGTAAACCTTTCAGGATGTCCTGCGTACCAAACTTTTGCTATGCTGTCCTAATGATAGGGCGCTTCAATGAAATGGGATCTCAGCCGCCATGCACCACGCAGGAGCCTCCGCTTGCGGCAATAACAATCGTCACCGCACGGGTCATTGGATATCCGAGTGGTCGGTGAACTTGTTGGAATCTAGAAGAAAACTCTAGGTTGACCATGAGCACAATGTAACTAAGCGGACTATTAGGCAAGAACTAAAGAGGGACTGCGTGAAGACAAGAAAACCTAGGGAAGTAGAGCTCAGAAATGGAGGAAGCAAGAACAGTAGGCCATTTTCTCAAGCTCCTTCAACTGATCTGCACCGCTGGTCCAAGGAAACCAGGCGTCGGTGAACGTGGTAAATAATTGGAACAGTTTGCTCGAACATGTGCAGCAGTTCAAAACGTTGTTGGATTTATATTTTACTGCTGTTCGATTCAGAGAACGATTGCAAACTTACGATGAAATCTCATACTGGTGAGTCTTGCAATACCGTTAGTCAGATACGTTAAGTATTACTTGAGAACGATAATCATACTCACCGGTGCCAACTTTATAACTGTTTTCAGCATACCTCAAAAAACAGGTACAGAATTCATTCATACTTGCTCCACCACACAGCGTTCAGTATTCAGTCAGAGACAGCGTGGATGCCCTGATTCACAATAAAGAACACCATATGGTTCGTTGGGAGGAGCACTTTCGAGATCAGTCCAGTTGTCTCCCTGTTACTTGAACTCTTCCTACAGGCTTGGCAAGATGAGCCATGGTCGGTTAGTTTATAGGCTCCTTCGAATGTTGAGGTTGGAAACACGACCGCAGCCGTTAATCATTTTCGTGCTGCTGGCCAGGATTCCCTGGCGCGCTCACTATTTAAGAATGGTGGTGAGGTCCTGTGCAAAACACTGCTTTTCCTGTTCTTACAGGCCTGCAAGGAAGAGGCCATACCAGCCAACTATAGTGAGTCGATTATGGTGGTTGTACACCAGAAGGGCAGCCGCACCGGCTACACTAACCACTGTGGGGTTAATCTAACACCGGTGGCAACAAAAGTACTGACCGCAATTCTCCTTCGCCGCCTCATTGTGGAAACAGAATCCTGGATCAGGGAAGAGCAAACGGCCTACCACCCAGAACGAGTCTGTATGGACCACATATTTAATCTGCGTCAGGTGCTAGAGCAGCATCACATTTACCGCTGGCCGACAGTGGTTGTGCTCCTGGACTTCAAGGTTGCGCTCGACTCACTCGATCGATCCTATTTAAATAATTATGCGGAAAGGTGTTAACATGTAGACATTATACGAGCCCTGTACTCGAACACTCCAGACCGTTTCACGGTTTACACTGATTTATCGGATGCCTTTGCGACAACAACTGGCGTTCGTCAGGGTTGTCAAATTTCCCCGTATATGTTCAACTTCGTTGTGGATTGCATCATGGAGTGTTCCCTTGCAGAGACTCACGATGCATCCGTTGTGGTGCGGCCTGGTGAATAGTTGGTTGATCTTGATTTTGTGGACGATATTGTCTTGCTTCTTAACAATGTTGGGGCGGCCCAATCAACCTAGAATAACTAATAAAGCGTGGTCCAATCAGTTGGTGTACGCTTCGCATCTCCAAGGTGCAAAGTGTTGTTGCAAAGCCAACATCCACTTGATGATATCTGGAACCTTGATAGAGAATGCATCGAGGTAGTTTATCGATGCATTTGCCTTGAAAGCTGCATCAGCAACAATGGATGCATAAGCGCTGTAACCTATCAACGTACCGTTAAAGCTAAAACTGTTTCATTGAATCTGTGACATCTGTGACCTCAGAAAGGGGTTTCCCTTGGTCTGAAATGCCGCGTTTGCAAGTCCAAAGGGATTGTTGTCCCATTCTATCATAGTAAGACTTGATCCCTTCGACCTGAGGATATGTGGTACCTTCGAGTCTTTGGCCATCGCCGTCTGCGGAACATTGCTAGTGTCTGGTGGCAGCAACGTGTCCGCAAAGATGGTATGCGTGGGCGAGCGTTAGGCAGTGATAATCGTGCTAGTTCTTTGGAATAACAGATAGTATTGACTAAGTTGTATTAGTCTGCTCACGTACTACTTATGCTTAATCACTGCTTACTGAGGATGGTGGTGTTTCGTTTGTCAGATGTAGGGTGGCGCAAGGCCTGTGATGGGCACAACATAATTTGGCAGCAAGAAATGGTCACTGATGACCAACCTGAGTGCTGTCTGTCCTTCTCACCTTCCAGGCTCATATCTACGTGACCCGGCATGTGCTTAGATTGAGACACTACAGGACATGGCTCGCAGTCGGCACCCCCATCCTCACCATCATCCACACAAATAATTCCTACTTTAACAGTTATCCAGATAATCAATAATAATCTTATAACTTTTACCATTATCCTAATTTCTCTCTTCCAATTCCTCCTCCCCTCCTATACCTCTCCTCACCCCACACAAAATCCCTCACCACACCAAACCCCCCCCTCACTATCATATCACCCTATACTTCTCAATCTCTATAAATAATACTTCCCAATCTCACCCTACTCACCCCCCCCCCCCCCCCCCCCCCCCCCCCCCCCCCCCCCCCCCCCCCCCCCCCCCCCCCCCCCCCCCCCCCCCCCCCCCCCCCCCCCCCCCCCCCCCCCCCCCCCCACCCCCCCCCCCCCCCCCCCCCCCCCCCCCCCCCCCCCCCCCCCCCCCCCCCCCCCCCCCCCCCCCCCCCCCCCCCCCCCCCCCCCCCCCCCACCCCCCCCCCCCCCCCCCCCCCCCCCCCCCCCCCCCCCCCCCCCCCCCCCCCCCCCCCCCCCCCCCCCCCCCCCCCCCCCCCCCCCCCCCCCCCCCCCCCCCCCCCCCCCCCCCCCCCCCCCCCCCCCCCCCCCCCCCCCCCCCCCCCCCCCCCCCCCCCCCCCCCCCCCCCCCCCCCCCCACCCCCCCCCCCCCCCCCCCCCCCCCCCCCCCCCCCCCCCCCCCCCCCCCCCCCCCCCCCCACCCCCCCCCCCCCCCCCCCCCCCCCCCCCCCCCCCCCCCCCCCCCCCCCCCCCCCCCCCCCCCCCCCCCCCCCCCCCCCCCCCCCCACCCCCCCCCCCCCCCCCCCCCCCCCCCCCCCCCCCCCCCCCCCCCCCCCCCCCCCCCCCCCCCCCCCCCCCCCCACCCCCCCCCCCCCCCCCCCCCCCCCCCACCCCCCCCCCCCCACCCCCCCCCCCCCCCCACACCCCCCAACACCCCCCCCCCCCACCCCCACACCCCCCCCCCCCCCAACCTCTTCTCAACCCCACCACCCCTCCCAACCACCCCCAACCCCCTTACCCCATAATTCCCGACCCCTCCACCCCCTCCCCCCCCCCACACACTCCGTACCACTCCCCCCTAACCCCCCCACACATACCTCTCCTACTACGTGAAAGTGTGTGTTACCGCAACCCTCACCCACAGTGTCTAGCACTCCAATAGTCATACCTCGACATGTGGTCCAGTACTCAGAATTCTCAGTCCTGAGTCTTACACCCGAGTTCCGTGTACAGATGTTCATTTGTGACCATATCTCCGCACGCTCACTTTCCACCCCGCAAATTGACCAGTGTATCAATTTACACACACTCCTCTTACTGTGTATACACTGAGACCGACCCATATGTTGTCCTCATTTATCTGCCCGTCTCGTATTTGCTACAACTTGTTACAGCTTGCAGTGTTCGACCACACTCTAATATAGATCCAATCCGCCCTACATGTCGCTGTCTCCTGTATTGACTTTGCGGTGTGTCACATGAGACGCACACTCTCTCTACCACATCACATTTGAATACCCTCTAAGAGCGCGCGTTATAAAGTGTTTTTCCGTTTATAGGACTCACGCTCGCCCCTGCAGATCTCTAACAGAGCTCTACCTGACTATTCACTCGCTGCGTGTCCCACTTTTACACGCGGAATGTGATAGCGCGTTATGTCCTGTGTCATCTCCTGAGCAGCTCCTCGTATGTCTGCCTCATTAGAGCAGAGCTCGGGCTCACGTATCGAGCCCACCTCCTACCTCTCTACTTACCACACTATAATCTTCACTCACATTAGCGCTGCCATGTCCAGTTGTACGTTAAGTCTCTCTGATCCACTGTGTCAGACTTGCCTGAGGACCCGGTGATGAGAGTGTGTCATTGCACTACACTTGGCCCCAACACTGCTGACTCTTGCTACAGACATGACATAGCTCGCGCTTTATGAATGTGAGAGCTCTGTCGAAACTGCCTACTTGGAATTTCCTCATACGTCTCTTATCCTCCACATATTGTGTCACGACTCATGTGACATCTACTACAGACCCTACATTTCGAATCTTGTACTCCGTCGTGCGACCTCTCCAAGTCCTCTACAGCCCTATGACACAAACTATCCTGCACAGTGCGATGACTACAGAAATCCACAGCCAACATGCAACAAGCTTGTGTCATGACTGAAGTGTGTCTTCTTCTATAGTCAACTACACTCTTGCTACACCCAATATGTCCGCACTCACCCACTTTTCTGAAGATCTATGTATGTCTACTCGCGTGTATAATTGTTTCACCCAATGGTAGACGCATCGTCCATGTGCGTATCATAGGTGTTACCATTTTACAACTCTTGCTTTCCTTGTCAGCTAATATAACCACTTGACCACCGCTGTCGCTGAGATGACGCTCAAGTCGACGTACTGTCGCCCTATCATGTATTGTCCCATGTATTATGTCCACGGTGCTCTCCGCCACATCGTCACATGTTGTTTGAACCATAAAGAGGGTGTGTGACGTATGACTCTGCAGTGTTCAGCTGAGATTATACGGCGAGATTCTATACTCAAGTGTGTGTGCCAGGACTCTCATGATCTAGAATCTCTAAAGTCCGTGTCGCCGAATGTGTAGTCCCGCAGAGGTCCGCCACTCAGATCGCGATCTATAAGCAACTTGGTGCGCGCTCGTCTATGCCCCAATCTTGGCTAATTACTTTGATATGTAATTCCCCAAACACTCCCCCACCTAAATATACCTCCATTTTCACATCCTTTCAATCTTCATCATTTATTATGTATCATACACATCTTACGAAAATATCTTCCCTGTCAAACCACCAATTCTCTACCTTATCTCACCATTACGTATGTTCATGTCACAAATTCATCTAATGGTTCACGTGATCTGTCAGGCGGAACGCAGCCTATGATGACTCTCACATGATACCTCGTATAAATCACTACATTCCCCTGCTCTTGTTACCTGCGTGTAACTCGCGATGCGCCTCGTATCGCGTCGCAAACACCACCCTCTGTTAGTAAGTGACGCGTCTGTACTAATGCTGTATTAAAAATGGTTGGTATTGGCATTGCAACCGTGCACAGAGTCTCCACTCTACGCACAGCTACAGCCTCACGACCATATGTAATCCGAGCAAGCTGTCGCTCATCGGTTCGCCTTCGCTGTAATATGTTGCCACGTCAACAACTAGCCTGGCTCACGCGTGTTTACATTCTCCTCATTGCCCAACCCCAATATTCCCTACTCATCTTCCTTATCTCCTCCCCCTAAAGTCATCATACCAACGTCCGACCCCCTACAGATGCCCTTTCGTCTTGTCGGTTGCATCGCCCCATCAGACCCTCAGCAATTTACACGTTATTCACTCCCATCGATCCTAGAGAATAAATCTAGCTATCTGAGATACTCTGACGTGTTCCTCGCTCAGTCATCCCCTTTGATGAGTCACACTGCCTCAGCACTCTGACATTTTGGTGCAGTGAAGACTCTACCCGACGTGTGTAACCATCTTTCAAAGTCTGTTTTTTATTATATCTCTGATCACCCCCCCTACTATATTCTAACTCCTACTAAACATTAACTACTCATACCACTTAGCCCGCCAGTGTGCCACTTCTAAATCTCTTTATGAGCTGCCGCATCACTCACACATCCGTTCGTGACTGTCATCCGATGTTGCACTATGTCTTCACGCAACAGACTCCGTGCTACTGCACGTACCCTGTATGTGTAAGACGTCCACTATGTTTCCTCTTGCGCACACTCACCTGATATACACTCGCGTCTTAATCGTCTCAGTATCACTCTCGTGCCCCGACTCCTAAGTTGTACTCACGCAGAGTGTGCGCTTGACTCGCGTTTCACCTCTCAAGTTCCGAGCTGATCGTGTGTCCCCCTGTGAATGAGACTGACGCCCAATATCATCCCATGTCCTCCCTATAACCGAGATCTGTTCATACTGCTTCGATGTGTCCAGTTCTACCTACTACGTTGTTACTCCATGTTTACCCGTCCGCTGCTGTTAGTATGTTACTCGCTTGCTCCGCCACCACACTCTTTGAGATCCAGATACTATCTAACGTCATCCACCAGATCATGTCACTGAAGACACAAGCCGCATCCGTATCCCCCTCTACCTCATACACTGACGCCTACCGCACTTGGCCTACGTATGCCTCTCCACCATCCAATCCTTAAATCAGCGTATCTTCGCTTTAGATGTCGTTCAACCTAACGCGCGTACTCTACATTCAGTTGCCGTGCTCCCTATGTGTATCCGGCAGCGCACACTTGTGTGCATCGTGTCCCAACCCGTAACCATAATGAAGTCTGAGAGTCAGCTATGAGACTATACATGTATACGCGGAATGCTCCGTGTGCTAAAATCGTTACAGATATCCTGTATACGTCACCCTAACTCGCAGAATAGTCTGTTATTATATCTCTAATTATATAATTCTCCGATATACTCAATCGCTATATGGCTAGATTTAGTGCATTCATACTTCACTGCCGTGACACAACGCTTTCGCAACTTGTCACACTGTCTCATGTCTGTGACTCTCACACCTGCCGTCACTGCCATGCCCTGTCATCATTAGTGTCTCGCTCCATATTTATGTTTTATACTTCATCATAATATAGCACGCGCTGTGTCACCTCTTACACCTGATCGCGATGACCAGATCACATACTCTGTAGACCACTCCATCTCTCACTCTCGCTCGCTATATCTATACCTCTCCATAGTCCTGCATCGTTTTCATAGAATATAGTTATTTTCTATTGATTCACCCACACAGACATCGCGTTCCTACCAGCACTCGCATGCCTCCTCATATGAGTCACTCTCCTTCTGCTTACCACTTGTGATATTTACAGCTTGTGTGTGTACAGGTGACTCTCCTCGACTCCCTATGAAGACCAGTATTGTGACTCGGTTGAGAGAGAAAGAGCCCAGTGCGATATACTCACATGAAATACCTTGTGAGCCCCCACACTCCCATCGTTGCCCCCTACGCTCTACACGTTGCCTGTTCTCCTCTCTTCCCCATAAGAATAATATCATCCTCGTCGAGTGTACCCTCATTGTAGTAGCGCTTGCATCACCCCTGTACTCTCGAGTTCGCATGATCATCGCACGAAGTCTACGTTGCCACCCACATATTCCTGTCACATGTGTTGCTAGCTGAGCTCTCAGCTAGTAGATCCCTAACTAGTATACATCTCAGTGATTACATTCTATTTAAACACTCGCCGGGGACTGAGATCACAATCTTTTGATTATGACTCATCCTGTAAATGTCATTCGTGTGTACTCTCACGTTTGATGTGTAATTGACTTTGAGTCTTCTTAACTCGCAAATCGACGCACTCCGCTCACATCGAATCGCCTCGTCCCCATGTCTTCGCGAGTAATACCGTACATGCGCAACGTTGGTTACGTCCCAGCAACTCATGTATCACAGATCCTGTAGTGTACTACCCTCCATAGTATTCTTGTCTTCTTATGACCTACTCACGATCGACAAAACTTCACCCACTCCATAACGCGTTCCGGTCGTCCTCACGTCTTGCCGATCTCGAACTGCGATGTAGTTATGCCAGACCCTAGCACTCCCTGTTGTAACAAGTTCTCAGTTGTCACAGATACATTAATAGACTAGGCCACACATCCCATGTCACTACACATATTGCACACTCTACAGCCCTCACACCCACAGTCTCATCTTTAAGATCCACTTTAATGATGTGCTACCATCTCTACGCTCCCAATCCTTCTAATGTACGTAATATATGAGCATCTCGCGCGCCTGTCCACTCGCACTCACGCATCACCGCCAATCCCTCTCTCGATCGAGATGCACCATATGTTCGTAGACTCAGCCGCGTGTCTATATCTATCACCGCCCAGCTTATCCCCGAATCTGCATCTTCACATCTTTCCTTGCACACAAACCCCCCTGTGTATATCTACACTGCCTTCACCACCACACCCCCCGTAAGATACAGTGCCTCACCTGACCTATGATTGTTATCACTCCTAACTAGCCCTATGAGATGTAAATTGTGCACCTACACATCCAGTGCTGTTTTCTATCAGACACCCACTTCCACTCTAAGTTATGTTCCCCATAAGTGACATCATGTGTGACACAGTCGTGAGAGACTATCGTCTGCTGTGTCCTGATAATAGACGTTGACACCTGCGTCCCCTATTCCACGCCACGCCTCACTCACTCAAGCTACCTAGTCACCACCAGCTACGTCTATCCAATGAATCTCCTACACCAACTTGCCGCTCTCTGTATAACTCTCCTGTGCGTCATTCTCTATTCGTACTCGTCACACCATGCTCACCTGTGCCACAGCTAAAGTACTTGTCCTGCACTAAGATGCTTGTCTAACGAGTACACGCCGTTGCTCAGTCCTCCTAGTATCATCTCTTATCCCCACATTAACTATCTCGCATCTCCCGATGTGGTCACTAATATGTGCTCACACCTGTGTGTCGCTATACACTCATTTGACTGTCCGTCCATTGTCACACCTGTCTCACCTCCTGTGTCCCATCAGCCAAGACACTAAGACATAGTATGTGTGCCACACCCGTCTCATATCCCGCGCAGTGTTGTGATCTATCGATACTCCGCTATACAACCACACCACATGTCCATATTTGAACTGTACATTCGTCACACCATCTCTACATCTCTGTGCACATCACCACCACCCCCCTCTACCCACCACACTACACTTGTTCCCTCTGTCCTCCCACGCCAAAGATCCCCTTTCACATGTACCTCGTCCTCTGTTTAATTGCTCCAGTATCACCACTGTCTTATCCTGCGCGTGTGCTCCCTGTGACCCTATATGCCTTTCCACTATCTCTTTGTTCCCAGAGATCCTCACATCCCGTGTCCTCTAAATAACATGTCCCACGTACTTGTGTTACTTGTGTCTATGTGTCCACACGTGAATAGTGAAAATCTAGTCCACCATGTCTCGCTATACTGTCTCTATAGCTGCAAGACTTAAACTCTGTCTATAAAAATATGTATGTATTCTACACCTGTACTCACCTATCCATCACACCGATACCACCTGCAGCCGTGTCGTCCTACCCATGTTCATCTCTCACCTACATTGTCGCACACCCCTGTGTTCCCAGATGCGCTCGTTAAGAATCCTCCTCGCAACACAATGGACTGTGTGCGCAGAGTGATCTACGTCTCGACCCCATGTATCTCCTATCTCATGTCTATATCTGTTACCACATCATAGTATAAGTCGCTGTGTGCATGTCAACTTCCCCTATCGACTCCCCCTATCCTCGTATATTGTACCTCCTATTCTTGAAATAGATCACTAACCCCACTCCCTCTATCTTGTCCGTCCCTGCTGTGTGCCCACAAGATTCATGCTCGCGCTATCAATATGAACTGCACCCTCTATGTTCCGTCTGTCTACGTTGTGTCAAC